GATGTGTCAATGGGCTGCATGGTGGCGCAGTGGTTAGCACTGTTGCCTCGCAGCACGAAGGTCGCAGGTTCAAAACCCGCCTTTCTGCGTGGAGTTGCGTGTTCCCCATGCATGCGTGGGTTTCCTCCGGGTACTCCGGTTTCCCCCACAGATCACAACACACCCTATAGGTTATAAAAAAATTGTACGTCGCTTTGGATAAAAGTGTCTGCAAAATGAATAAACATAAACATAAACATCAATGAACAACACACTGCGCCGTACCTGGTTCAAGCTACACGTGATTACAGAGGGTGGGACATCTGACCTATTGGCTAATAGTTGAATAATTTGCCCCCAAATGAGATCAAAAGTTAATAAAAGCTAAATGTAATATGAGGACGCTTACTGAGGTTATGATGAATAACAGATGTATCTGTCCACCGGTGCATTACCTTAGTTTGGATGTAAGTTTTGTTGTGGAAAAACTATTTCATTGGAGGGCATTAACTGTACACTTGTGGATATAAAATTATGTTTACTGTTCGAAATAGATCTGTTCTGTTAATGATATGAGGCTATGAATGGTGAGTTAGACATTATTTTGAATATCTGAATGGTTTCACAAAAACGTTTACACCATTTTTACAAAACAATGCCGTCAATTTGCTGCAACGCCGTGGCAGCATCAAGGAGCCTTGGGTGTTTATAAGTGGTCAGACCGTGGCAGTAATGTGATGCGATCGTGCCCTTTTTATAAATGATTAGGCAATGGTGGTATAAAGGGGGCATGGGGGCGGTCCGTGCGCTGCCGCGGACTTCCGTTTATCTTGGACATAACTTGCTTTTTACTGCGACTGAAGCCGCAATCTATACGTTTTTTTTAATAAGCTGCTCCTAAAGGTGTTTGTCCCCACAGTCCCCGTGAAGTCTCTGGTGATCTGACCGCCAGCTCTAACGGAGAGAAGCTCCAGGAGTGCTGCAGCGCTCCACTTTGCCGTCTCAGCTGATCTCGTTCAAAAAGCTAAACTTAATGCCCGTGTTTACTTTCATTTTCAATATAGTTGTCAGTAGGAGCTTGACACACACTCGCCACAGGATATTTACACCTCCCTCTGTTGCACCAAGGCACAATAGCCATTTATAAGACAGACAATTATCACAATATTAGTACCAAGAGAGGTGGAACGAATGTCGCAAAATACGCGCAAGACACACTGTTGAGGTAATATTACGCCGATTTGCCAGCATGGTGTGTCGTGTAAAAAGTAGGGCTGGGGGTAAACGATTATTTTTAAAACGATTATTCTGACGATTATTTTATCGAATAGTCGACTATTCTAATGACTATTTAGAAAATTAATCTAATGATTATTTTTCTATTGCACAATTAACAAAAACCAGAAAATCTCAAATAAATTCCTCAAAAAAATTGATAAATTCTTACTGTAAGAGAATAAACACTACAGGCCTTCCATTTTGTATAACACTGCTTTTATTGTGTTGCGGTTGGTTATGTTCTGGTGACGTGTAGAACTTGGGAGTGCAGGCTGCTGCCTGAGAGGTGGAAGAAGATGGAGTGTCTCCATGCTGCTTTGTTTTGGTCACTTATGTGCGTGAGGCGAGTGGTCTTACAGGTTAAACCAAACTCAGGTGGTATTTTACACTAAACCGAAAACCCACAACACTCTAAATGTAATAAAAGGGAGATCTACACCACAAAAAAGATAAACTCTAAACCAAAACGTAACAGCTTATCCCAACGCAAGAAGCTGTTAGCGAAGATGCTAACAGTAGCTTTACCAACATTAAGTTCAAGTTACCAAGTTTAAATAAACCAAAAACACCCAGCAGCAAACAGACCAGCACGGAGGAGAGACTGCTATCACCAAAACAGCTCTCCTAATGTCTGAAAGAAGCTCCTTTATGAAGGGAGAAACGCTCCCGGTGATTTTCTACATCTGCGATAGACACGAAGCAGCGCATCTGACCCCGGAAGTTGTTGTCCGTTGCCGAGAGACGAAGGGGCAAAACAGGAAAATAATCTAGTAGTGGACGGACGTTGTTCCGGGTCTTCGGTATTTGGCGGAGATGTTAGTGAAGGCGGAGAAGAGGGCGAACTAGAGGAAGAACAGGCAGATTCCTCCTCTATTTACAAACTCCTGGGGATGCAACAAGTGGGCGCGGTGCGTCGACTTCCGGATCTGACGTCGACAAATTTTTAGAATCGAGCCGTCGACGTCGTCGAGGCTTCGCTACAGCCCTAGTAAAAAGGTCTATAAAGAAACCACTAAATTTTTCAGTTGGGTCTTATTTGTTGTTTGTTTATGCCATGTAACAGAATAAGTGTTTAATATTTGATTAATTATGCACTGATCTGAAATTTTTGGGCCGATACCGATATCCAGTATTAATATCACTATTATGGCTGATAACCGATATTTGCCGATATATTGACATTAATGCTTCTAAAATCAGCAGATTTTGTATAGAATGAAATTGATTAAAGCTGGATTTACGTTATTATGTACACACACCACACACATTTACGCTTCTGAGATGATTACAATCACTGTCACATGACTAAACAAATACACATCATCCCCCTCACCCTGTGAAACAGATGAACAAATGGAAATAAGATGGTTGTTAATATCGACCCAGTTTAATTTATCAACCCGATACCGATATGTTAAAAAATTACCAACATCGGCCGAAACCGATATTGATGCAGATACATTGTGCATCCCTATATTTGATCTAAAAAAAGTAAAGTTAAAATATTTTAGAGCTTAAAATGCTCTACATTACATCCAGTAATAAGGCTTTCAGAAGCCGTGTACCAAAATATAATTTTAGGAAGACTTTAGCAATATTAAAACTTGAACACCACCTAATTCTACAAATCTTGTTTAGTCAGAGGAAAAAGTAAATAGTGAGGATCAAATGAAGAACTGACTAATGTAGTTTTTCCCTGCTCCTTTTACTGAATGTCTAAATATACCCTCCTGGTCTGAATCCCTGCATAGCCTATGAGTGGAAGAATGAGTCATCTTTCAACATAACTGAGCAGTGAAACTTATAGAAAATGTATAAACAAGTAAGAAAAAAAGAGAGCAGATTAATTTGTGATTTATCTTCTTTTAGCCAATTGTGAATAATCCCCCAACATGTTTTTAAACCCACATCTCTGTGTAAGATGCAATATGCAGATTTCCATGTTTCCCTTAAAAAACATCAAATTTTATGTAATTTTCCTACACAAAACATAAAATAAACACACAGATGGATCCGGACGTGCATGCTGATCCAGATGCCAGAGCCCACTCAGTTTAGTTGTTTTTCTTGCATCTGAATCAAAATGATAATCATCCTGGAATAACTAACTAACCCTAGCGCGTACAGATGAATCCTTTCACTCTGCCCACACTGGGGTCTTCTGAGGCGATCGCAGCTTGACTTTCCTATGATGAAACGGCAAGCGAGCGGTGGAGGGCTGACAGTGTGGGCGATCAGGACACAAAGTGTTTTCCTCAACTAACAGCAGGATGAGATGCAGAGCTGGCAGCGATGTGGCATCCATACCTCGAGCGCAGCCAACGCAGCATGCGCTCCTTTGCTGCTTTGCAAACTCACGGGCCATCCATGGCACGCTTCAAATAAGCACACACAAATCAACCGACTCAGCTGGATGTGAGCAACTAATAGAAGTTTTTTATGCTTTTATGGCAAAGTCGTACTTTTTCCCTCAACAATGAATGTAATAGCAGGATGCTGTTGATGAAGAAGCCAGGTGACGATGTGAGCAGGCAGACATCATTAGCCCCCATCATCACACTTCATCAGAGGAGAGGAAGTGTGACCCCTCTGTTGTAGCATAATGAGCTGGAGGTATGAACAAAAGCAGATGGCTTTATGAGTCAGACAACGGGGCGCTTATGAATGAACATATATCATTCACTTAAATTTAAGCGATCAAGGCAATCTTTTACTGCAGCATCTCTGGAAATTAGTTATCATGGCACGGAGGAGCAGTTATCGCTTCAATGGGACTTTCTCCAAAGACAATACCATGCAGACTAATATTGCTAATGTTTTGTCCAACAGCCGGTGTATAAAATAAAATAAAAACAGTGTTGAATCCTGGTGATTTAATACTACTTTTAAAAGCATTAAAATGTAAAAAAAACAAACAAATATTATCTGCCCACATTTCATATGAATTAACATTAATAAGGTCTATTACATCTTTTTGTTTACTTAGAGCTTTGATATACAAACATATAACACCAACCTGCATCAGCTTTTGATTTATGTATCATTGTTTATGTATTTACCATAACTCTTTAGATATTTACCTCTTCTATTTTGTCAATTATGAATGTACTTACTCTTGCACCATTTGTATGTTTTTCATTGTTTTGTGTGTGCGCACGTGTGTGTTAGCTTGTACCCCACTGATTTTATGCTTGGTTGAAAAATGCTGTGTCTGTTATGTTGGTATTTTATTTTATTTTTATGGAGGACTCAGAACAGAGATGGTTGTCTCAAGTGGCTGATCCTCCAAAAAGATAAGTAAAATAAATAAATCATCACATAAAATGCAGATGGATAACACTAAACCTGTATGTTTTAGTCATTTACCTACTCCAACACACCTGATTCTGTGGCTAGTCACCTGTTAATTAGCCATTGATTCAGATCAGGTGTGCACAAATGTATAAAACCATGCAGAACGCTAGCCCTCGAGGACCATCATTACACAAAACTGACTCAAATGAACTCAGTTGACCTCGTATGGTTTATTATATTCATACTTACTATTGCAGAGTTGTATGCAAAAGTTTCTTAGAGTAAAAGTTGAAATAAACAAGGTTATGAACTTGACACCAACTGTGTGCCATGTTTTAAATTTGGATGCCGTTTGTTCTGGCGTATAAAAGCCTCCTGTTTGGGACCCCTGGTCGCGTTTCTCCTCCGCTGTTAGCTAGCAGACAGACAGCAAGTGCGATAGTACTCACCCCCAGTTTCTTACTCCGTATCCTCACGTACCCCTGCTTGACTATGTCATTGAAGTTGGAAGCCATGGTGGTGGAGCGGAGCGGCTGTCTATCCAAACAAAAGATAAAATAATAAAAAAGGAGAAGGGGAAAAAAGAAAAAAAAAACAATGAAAAAAGTGGTCTCGTTGTTAGCGGAGAAAGCGGTTCAGTAGGAAGCTAGCAGGTCCGCGTCGCGCGACATCCAGCTGGAGGAGGGAGAGGAAGCAGCGGGCAACCTGCTCCGGTGTCAGCCAGCTACAGCGCTCGGGCTGGCCGGTCGGTGTCGAACGGCGCGATCCATCCGGGAGAGGAGGAAGATACCATTCGGCTGCGGATTCACCTCCGCCGGGGAGGAGACGAGAGGAGATGAGAGCAGAGAGAAGAGAGAGGCGAGGTGCGCGCTTCCTGGACCACACCATCCACAGGGGGGAGGGAGGGGGGTCTGGCGAGGACAAACCTCAATTATTTATTTATTTATTTATTTATTTATTTATTTATTTAACACACGCATTGATAAAATAATGCCTATAATTTGTCATATTTTCCTTGGGTAGCATTATTTATGCGCACAAATGGGTTGCTAAAGTAATAAATGCATAATATATTGCATATTAAATATACATATAACAAGTGATGTAGTGTTGAAGTTGAAATTTTCTTGAAAAGGGGTCAAACTCATTTTTTTTCTTGAAAAGAGGTGGAATATTTGACTTCCAGAACAAGGTGGGAATGTAGTGGGAAAAAATCTACATACTATTTCCAGAGAAAGACACAATGACAAAGAAAACCAAAGTCAGAAAATCTGACTAATTCAAGGAAGAATCAAGCTCTACTGTACTCAAGATAGAAAGATAGATAAATGAATGAATGATAAATTACCCACACTAGTAGAGCACCTTTCAGAGTCAGAGGACTTCAAAACGCTTTACACCACAGGGTATCATTCATCCATTCACACACACATTCACACACTGATGGTGATGAGCTACAATGTAGCCACAGCTGTCCTGGGGCACAATGACAGAGGCGAGGCTGCCAAGAACTGGCATCACCAGTCATCACCATCAGCATCACCCTGACCACCACCAACAGGCAAGATGGGTTAAGTGTCTTGCCCAAGGACACAACAGTACAGTTCTCTGCAGGGAAGATCAATCCTACTACCCTCAGATAGATAGATAGATAGATAGATAGATAGATAGATAGATAGATAGATAGATAGATAGATAGATAGATAGATAGATAGATGATAGATAGATAGATAGATCATTTTTATGATGTAATGTTTTTACTAACATGTGGCACTACCATGTTGATCACTTTTGAACATTGACATTACATTAAAGAAAACTATATTTAAAAAAGGTTTACTGCAGTAAATTAATTTCCTTCTTGTGCATTTACCATTTGTTTTTCAGCAATATCTGAAAATGCACTCAGCAGCACTGTTGCCTTACAGCGAGATGGTTGCAAGTTTAAATCCCAGCTCCAGTTACACATGTATAATGCCTGGACAAGCTCTATTTTTTTAAATAAATCTGTTTTATTTTAAGTTATAAATGTCTGAAAGATTCTTCCTTCTATATATAAACTGCCGTCACTCCCTTTCATCCCAGTTATAGTCTACTTTGTCCAAGTTTAAACTTCTGCTTGTAGAAGACAGAAAATAATCATCAGACTTAAATCAGACTTACGTCAACTAACTTTTGAGGTCAATCTAATTTAAGATGGCTGTTATAGCTAATTGACCATAGCTATGTATTAAGTGAGTTTCTGAGAAAATGAGCTAAAATTTGTTTGAGAAACATTTATTTTTAGTGATAACCCACTGAGGTTGATTTGAATTAGTCTAAAATTTCATAATCTAATTATAATAACCTTTAAAAAACGTATCACCATCACAAGTTAGGCTTTTATTAATAACATCTACATTTTTCATCCAAAAGTAAATTACATTATGATTACACTTAAATGTTTTTAAATAATGCAGCCTTTCATAATAAGCAATTCATTGCATGAAAGTGGTGGTTGATTGGGAGATTTTAAAGAACAGCGACTTGCTTGATGGATTAGTGGAGCCTCTTACAGTTAACTGAAGCCAATCTAGTAATTATTCATCTCAGTCATTTTGAAAGTAGACATTTTTTCCTGCCTTCAGCTCATTTGAGATTTTTTTTTATTTTCATCATCTTGTGAGCTAATATTAAAATTATGGGTGAATAGGTAAGTAAGAGGATGGCCTGATTCCCATAAGCCATAAAGTTAAAGATGAAACATATCATGAATATTTGATGTAATATTACTTTTTTTATGTCCATCTTTAGTTTCAAAGAAACAAGCGAGGTAATTACTTTTTTTAGACATTCATTTTTTATATTGTGACCATAATGTGAGTTCTTGTTTTTTTTTTCTATTTTCCCTCACTCTTATCAAAATCACATATTTTTATGTGAAACATTAAGCATAATTATTCTGTTGAAACTTCTGCCACTATATTTCACCTTTTAGCAGAGAAATGATGAATTGGTGCCTTTCGGAGCCAATGACACACACCAGGGGCGTGTCCACGGAGTGGCCTCAGGTAGCACATGTCACCCTTGAATTCTGATTGGTCACTCCAGGTGTCACCTCACTGAGTTCCTTTGGGAGCTCTATGGCGTTTAAAGCGTGCCACAACCCGTGCACGCGCATTGGGTCCACAGCGCGCGTGTGAACGGGACTCACGAGCGGAAATATACATGGCGAGAGGTCATTTGTGCACTGAGAGGGAGCAAACTGTGTCTGTGAGCGCACAAGGATGTGCACAAGTGACAAACCTGCGTGCGCGCGTTGTCAACGAGCACACGGCAGAGGAAAACGTGCGCGCGCGGCAGCCTCTGTGCGCGCTCGGCAGCCTCTCTGCGCGCTCGGTTTCTGACTCCTGCTCGCTCGGCTGTAAGGGTTTTGGCACTCTGGAGGCGTGGCCTGTGGCAGATCTCCTCTGTCCTCTGATTGGTTAGTGTACCCCGCACTTTACCCTCTACCTATCTATATAAAAAAGTCTACTAGTCAAGTAGTTGCTGGCATAGCTCAGTTGGAAGAGCAGGTGACTCTCGCCCCGGAGGATCCAGGTTCGAGGCCGGGCAAGGAAAATGTAGTAGATGTCATGTTAATTTTTCTTAATTTCAGGTATTTTACAGTTGTGACCGTTCAACTGTCATTAAACGTCCGAATGTTTGCTGGGCAGTGTTTTAAAAAGTGCACATAAGCTAGATGGTTTTAACCATATAAAATTACATTTTTTGTGATACTGGAAAAATACATACTGAAATAAAACTACTGATTGAAAACTTTATGACTGTGGTTGTACAATATATGACTCACTAATACACTGCAAACTCCCTTAGAGTGGGGCTTCCAGAGAGAGAGAGAGAGAGAGAGAGAGAGAGAGAGAGAGAGAGAGAGAGAGAGAGAGAGAGAGAGAGAGAGAGAGAGAGAGAGAGAGACAGAGAGAGAAAAGTTCTTGCCTCATTAATGAATTGTTTATTTTTTTCAGTATTTAATTGACAAATTATCCTTTCAAATAATTAATTGATGAGTTACATAATTGTCCATTTAGAATTGTTGAATGGACTGAGTCAAGTTTGGTGCACTTTATATATTTCAAAACATGTTTTTTTTTTTTAATTTTAATGATGCATATAAATAATTTAAATGTTAATTTAATGAAATATTTCTATTTTTTCATTACCTCACCCTTGTTTTGACAAAAACGGGACCTTGCTGGATAATATCATGGAGAAACTATTTGTTCACAGTACATGGCTCCGTAAGGATCTGTGTACCAAAGGAGGAGATACTCAGAAATCTGTCTGCAGATTGTTACAACCCAGACTGGAAGTGGCGGGCTGTAATAAGAAAGGAGACCAAACAGAGGAGTGGGGGTTCAACAACTGATTTATTTAACCAAAGTAAGGATTTACTAAAGCAAGTTAGTGAACAGAAAATGGCCATCTCAAGGTTTTACTCGGATGTCCCTCAGCAGGGTGCAGCACTGTTGAAGGTCATCTGAATGAAAGCTTGATATGCAGTTTCTTTATGAAAGTGTGTAAATATACAGTGTGGTTGCCGTACATATGTTGAGGTTCTCAGACATCAGGCTTCTTTGCCCAGGCCTTCACTAGTGGGCTATTTTAAAAGTTGGTAAGGAGAAAAACCACAGCATATAGCTGATTGTTTACAAATGCAAGGAGGGGAATAACAATCAAAATGCTTGTGTTCTTGGACCAGATGAATGGAGCGCTCCACATGCACTCAGAGATGTTATGGCCTTCTGTTTCTATAACTTTACATGCAGACATTTGAGGTTTGCCAGAAAGGAAAGCTGGCCTGTACACTTTGCAGGGCACAATGTCATCAATGAAGAAACCCCTGTCTACCAAGATGACCATCTCTAGTTGTAGCATTTTCAACACACCAGATTCCCAGGTTGGTCGCTGATAGTTCCAGCATACAGTGCTGAGACAAAGGTCACTGGCCTATGTGGCACAATCCAAATGAGCCTCTTCAGAGTGCAGTTGAACTTGAGGAAAATATATGACTCTGGAAGAGAGGGGAATATGGCCATTGACACCTCAGATCAGTGCAGTCAAGAATTACTGGTGTTTGGGTAGTCCTGAACGTGTTGTGATGCCCCCACCATCTCATTGGGTTTTCATTTGTGTTTAATTGTGTTTTTCTTCTGTTGTAGGCAGCTGGTTAAGCAGCCTTGGAGGCACCTGGGCTCAGGGTGTGGTGCTGCCTACAAAGCCTACTGTTTTTCTGCTTTCACTGGGTCTCTCCTGTGTGGTGGAGAGTCCTCACTGGCCATTTTCTGTTCACTAACTTGCTTTAGTAAATCCTTACTTTTGTTAAATAAATCAGTTGTTGAACCCCCACTCCTCTGTTTGGTCTCCTTTCTTATTACAGCCCACCACTTCCAGTCTGGGTTGTAACAATCTGCAGACAGATTTCTGAGTATCTCCTCCTTCGGTACACAGATCCTCACTGAGCCATGTACTGTGAACAAATAGTTTCTCCATGATATTATCCAGCAAGGTCCCGTTTTTGTCAAAACAAGGGTGAGGTAATGAAAAAATAGAAATATTTCATTAAATTAACATTTAAATTATTTATATGCATCATTAAAATAAAAAAAAAAACATGTTTTGAAATATATAAAGTGCACCAAACTTGACTCAGTC